GGCTGTAGATACATTCGTCGTCACTAAGTCACCTGTGATGGTGCTCTTCAGCCCACTCACAGCTGCGATATTACCGTAACTCACCTCGGCTACTTCCTCATAATCGTCAGCGCAAGCGACGTACAAGCGAGTACATTGCTCGTTTTTTCGCGCATCATATTGTACAGTTTCTGATTCCTCTTCATATTGCCCGAGTAAATCCTGAAGAAAGTGATTGGGCCCTTCTGCTTATCATGAACAATTTTGAAGACTCTGGCTGCCAGATTATTTTCAAAACATTGATACGGATTCGGTTGATTTACACTTGTTGGCGACGGCAGGTAAAGAATAATGCTATCCATCAAAGGTTGCACTCCTATATTCTTATAGGAACTTCCTAACATTACAGGCACACCCTTCCTGTTTATGGTGACTCTGCGTAAAGACTCGATCAACATTTGTGGCTGCACATTTTCCAGGGATTCTTGTTCTATAATAATGTCTGCTAATTCGTCATCCAGACCGGATAGTCTATCAGTTAATACTCGTCGTCTCTCACTAACAATATCCCATAGTTTTCCATCGTTGTCCTTGGTGATTTTTGTTCTTGTTAAATTTATACCCTGATGTTTCTTATCAAATGTTAATTTTTCCATAGTTATCACATCTATAATACCTTCTAAAACTCCTGCCTCCTTTATAGGGATCTGTGTAGGCAAAGTTTCGACATTTAATTTAGATTCAATAGATCGTATACTCATATCAAAATCAGCATCTGCTCTGTCCATTTTATTAACATAGATTATTCGAGGTATATTATATCTATCTGCTTGTCTGGAAACTGTTAATGTCTGGGCTTCTACACCAGCAGAACCATCTAGGACTACAATCGCACCATCTAATATCTGCAAAGTTTGTTCGACTTCCATGGTAAAATCAATATGACCAGGAGTATCTATTAAATTGAAGTGATAATCTTTCCAATTGAATGTAACAGAAGCTGAAGTGATTGTTATGCCACGCTGACGTTCCTGTTCCATATAATCAGTCACAGTATTACCATGATGAACTTCTCCCATATTTCTGATAAGACCCGAATAATATAGCATCCTTTCAGTTGTAGTTGTTTTTCCTAAAGAAAAATATATTTGACGTAATTAAAAAAACAAATCAAGTACATTCTATCTATTACAAGAACAATACTAACCAGCATCAATATGTGCCAATATGCCAATGTTACGTATCTTTGCAACTTCACATTCTTTACTTTTAGGTGCCTCCGAGAGAAAGGCATTTTTATGTACATACCGCGTGCGTAATTTACACCATGATGTCTTTAAGAAATTATGTTTCAGCATCTTGCTAATGTTTGCAAAATCTGACAGTGTTTTGGCAGAGTCTCTCAAATTATTTATCTAAATAATTATCTTAATATCTGTTTCTTTTGAATAAAATTGCATCGATTGAGCCCAATTTTATCAAAATCGGAAGTAAAGATCGGTATTCTAAATAATTACCTCTGTTCTATTCGTTTCTGTTCTATATATACAGTATTTTTTTTCTTTTCTTTTCTTTTCTTTTAAACTAGTAGCTTTATACTTCGTTTCTAACCTGGATAATCAACTTTAATATTTCGCTTTGCAGGACAGAGTGCCGCTTATTTCTGTCAGATTCTTTCATTTTGTGTAAAAACGCGTTGAAGGAGCATAATTAGACCCATATTTGAGGTGAGGGGTCTAAACTGTATAATTAGCACGAGTACGAACTTCCAACACACGGATATAGCATGAAATGAAACGAAAAATCATGGACCTAGCATGGAACAGAACCAAAGATAGCATATTATTCGTCGGCAATACTCATGACTTGACTACGTAGTTCAATGTTCACCTGTAGAGGCGCTAGTGGACATGGGTTCCAGCAGAGAATAACCTAAGAACGGTTATCCCGGCCTTTTTCTTGACACCGAAATCGCCGTACACTACCGCCACCAACGTCTATAATTGAACCCGTGAAACTATAAGTCACATCTATTTTGCGACACTGCCGATAAAATCGTGTCTCGAGAAATAGATGTATAGAAATAGATGCGTATGTGTATCCGTGCTACCATACCTTTATCCATAAATTGGAATGAAGAACACATATGTAATTATACGCACATATTACGTTCGTGTAATTTTTCTTATTATAGCCTAAAATATTGATTAATACTGACATATTCAACATATGGATTTTTTACATATTTATTCATATACATGTAGTGTATTTGTAAAAAATTTCTTTCCGCTAAAAAAATTTTTTATATAAAAACATATATAAATATATGTTTGTAATATATATAATATATGTAATATATGTGTAAATATATAATTGTACAAAATTAGTCCAATTTCCAGTGAGAAATGATAATGGAATTATCATTTCAACGTCGATTCTATTATCATCTTTGGGATATGTTCATATTAGTTTCTTTCTTTTGTAAAATTTCTGCTTAGTATAAAAAAATAATATAATAGTAATGAAAAGTTAAAAAATAATTAAAAAGATAATTTTCGCATTTCTTTTCTTGTATAGGAAGTTAAGTTTGGAGAAAAAAATTGCATATATATATATAATCAAATATATTTATGACTAAAAGTATATATATATATATATATATAGACAATATAACACCTAAAATAATTTAAAAAAGTTTAAAAAAAGATAAACAAACATACGAAGTAAATTTTAATAAAGAATTAATTTATTCAGTTTTGCAATTATTTTACACTACCCAGTAAAAATTTTTCATATAAAAAAATATATAAATACATATAAATATATAAATATAATAAACATATATAGTTAAATACGAAATATATTTATATGTGTTCATATTAGTTTTTTTTTTCTCTTGTAACATTATTTAGTAAGAAAAGTAATAGTAATAATGAAAATACAAGAAAAATCTTTCTTATTTCTTTAAGTTTTCTTATTTCAATTGAAGTTGCTTATAATTTTAGCAGCAAGAAACTGGAATCTGGAAATTTAGAAAATTTTGCGCAATGATCTTCTGCGCAGACGCTCGACGCTCATCATGGCTGAGTTCCGATACTCACTGCCAGTACTAGTAAAATCTATAATATACGTGACCTGAACTATAATATATATTTTCAGTACTGGTGAGTGAATATCGGAACGCAGCCCGTGTAACGGCCTTAAGGTATAGGCTCGCCTAGCGATCATCTGTTCACCATCCATGATTGACAACTTCTGTTGCTCCCACATTCAGTAGTTCCTCGTGGTTCCTCGTTCTTTGAGATTACACGTTGCCAAGGAACGTGCCAAAAATTAGTTACTTAGTTGCGTTGCGGAAGCGTGAACGATTGTCTCCACGTGAGTTATCCGTGAGAATTTATTAGAAAAAAAAAAAGAAAGAGCGCGTAGTAGAGTTCGAGTCGCTCGATTATGTGCGCGAAAATGGCCTTTCAACATCAGCCGGGTACCGCGATGGAGTGCCTAAGCGTACGTATTCTTTATTAATTCTGTCACGTAGTTATCCTTGATGATCCCGAATACTTGTCCTCTTCTTTTTTATTTTATAACAGTACAATATTTCAAAATTTTTATTTACCTACAAAGAAATTTATATTATAGATATTTATATTATACGTAAATAAATGAATGAATAAATGATAGTAGTTGTAAAAAGCTTGTGTGACAGCGACAGACATTTTAGATGAATCTTGGTCTATTCATGTTTTTTTTGACTGAGGTGAATTAAGTTAATTTAATTGGAGTAAATTAATTTTGATCGAAAATGACTTGGTTTTTGAAAAATTGTTTTAAAAATGTATCGAATTTTATAGTAAAAAGCAGCTAAAGGTTATCCAAATTTAAAACAGATATCATAAACTGGAGTAACTTTAACCTCTTGAAGTGATTTTAACATTTGATGAATATGAAATATATTTGAAATACATATTTGTTATAGATACCAATTACATTACATAAAGAAACAGAAATCAATGAAAATGGCGAAGAAGTAATGAAGTGTGGATTTAAAATCGGTGGTGGCATTGACCAGGACTTTACAAAAAGTCCACAAGGATATACAGACAATGTAAGAGATATTGTATTACACTTAAAACATACTGTTTTTATCTAATTTATACAATTTTGAGATAACAAAAAATTTATAATAAACATGAATCTTTTTTCAGGGTATATATGTAACAGAAGTTCATGATGGATCACCAGCAGCAAAAAGTGGTCTTAGGATGCATGACAAAATTTTACAGTGTAACGGATACGACTTTACAATGGTAACTCACAAGAAAGCAGTTTCTTACATAAGAAAGCATCCAGTATTAAATCTTTTAGTAGCTCGTAAAGGTGTTACCAGTACTTAAAGATATGCCAAAAGAGATTTTTATTGTTTATCAGATATTTATTTTATATTATACTTTAAGGAGGTTTGCCTATCCAATCTATTTTTCTGCCAAATATTACAATAAGTAGCAACCTCTCTCTATGAAGTAATACGTAGAAATTAATTCAATGCATATAAGATAATGTTGAATCATGGAGTTGAAAAAGTTGATTTCTTTGTTATTTCAAGGCTGAAGTAAATAGATGTTATGCTAATCTGATATTATTAGCACCTTTATAAAAAAGTTTAAAAAGAGATGCCAAAGTATAATAATGTTGCATTTAGTTATATATCTTTGACTATAATGATATAGATAATCTTTCTTCATATATATATATATATGTGTGTGTGTGTGTGTGTGTGTGTGTGTGCGCGCGCGCGTGTGTGAATTTTTATCAAGAATTATTATATTGTATGCATCTTCTTTAGTGTATTGTAATCATTAAATCTACCTTATTTTATAATTTTATAGTCAAAGACATACATAGACATAATATCGATTTTTGTAATTATATATTCTAATTTCAATTGTTTAAAGAATTAATACTTCTGAAAAAAAATATTGGGGAACTTTCCAAAATCTTTCATAATCATACAAATATTCATATTATTCAATATAAAAAAAGTTATTTTCTCTAAAATATTTTTTAAAGAACATTTTCTTATACCAGACTTCAGACATAATTATTAATTATTTTAGTATACGTTTTATATTGTTATTAAAATTATTGTGATAAAGTAATCTACTTTTTAAAGTGCATAGCGCATGATGTCTAAAAATCATTGGAGATTATAAAATAGAAAAATATTCCAATTTGCCTAATATTTGCATATATAATATGATATTATTAAATATTAATAATCTGTCAATTAGAAACTAAATTTGTTTAAAATATTCTGCATACTTCTATGTACATTCAGTATACTCCCTTTAAAAGATATTATGAATAAGATATCTCATGTAAAATGGAGAAAAGTGGAAATATATCCGTATGATTTATTTTAATTTCCTAGAGAAGGAAAAAAATATAATTTATTATAACAATAAGTATATATTATTATATATACATTGTTTACATTTTAATGTCGTCATTTGTTCAAAGGCGTATCAGATATGAAAAATATATTAAGAAATATCTCGAACATAAAGATTTTCTGGGGTTTTATATATAAATATATCTATATTGAATTTTCAAACAACAGATTTTAACAGATACTCATACTGCAAAAAGATGTAACGCTATACGTAAAAAGAAATACGATTTTTGTACAATTTTTGTACTTCGTCTCTTTGTTTTTACCCAAAGAGCGACTTTTTAATATATTTAACAACTTTTCATATGAAATAATAATTTTGTAATTTATTCCTTAAGATGAATTGAAAAGTATAATGAAAACTTGAGAGGCATGATATATAAAGATATATAATTCTAGGAACATATACCATGTATATTGTTTATCCTAGTCTAGTAATGTCGAAATATTTCATACATATAAACAGATATTTGTAAACATACAATTATTAAGCATATAACCTCCTCGTAGTATGAATTATAATGTTATAAAAAAACCAAAAAGAATGTTAAAACTATTCTTATTTACTTTATTTATCCTAATCTGGGAAAATTTCCCCTAAGGTGTATCACATATACTACATTTACTTATTAATATTAAAAACTTGAAAGCTGATTTTCTATACTTAATAATAATTCTTGAATAAATTCGTTCGAATTTTATTGCCTTCAACGTTGTTCGTGATGACAATCGAAATAACGATACTTATTAGCTACGTCACTACGCCATGTAATGTTTCAAATCAGTAACATATGTCATTTTTCCTTTACTTCGAGACAATCGTAATTTATGAATTATCATTATAGTTTCTAACTGCAAAGAAGACGCAAGTTACATATCATCAAATAGTAATAAATACTATAAATTTCTTCTTTCTTGTTCGAACGACAAAAATTGTATAAATACTTTTTTTTTACTTTTTTTCATATAATAATAATCTATATATTTCACGCATACTACAATTTAAACAATTAGTTGAATTCTAGTGATGAGTGATACTTATGATATTTTTAACTGTTTAATAAATATTGGCCGGTCATATAATTTTATTTTACCATATACTATTCTAGTAAAATCACATCTGTTCTATGTTTACTCTAAAAATCTGTATTTGAAAAATAGGTTGTTTCCTTACGTAATAGGTTGTTTCTATATCACAATCGATAATTATCAAGACAGAATTTGTTAAGAAGAAGATGGAAGGATCTTTCTATTCAATACAATTAATTAAGAGTTTGTGTTCTTATACAAGTTAAATCTTGATAATTAAAGATAATTACTTATGTGAAAGCTTTCTCTGCTATTATTTCTATATAATATTTATCATCTAAAATATGAGCATTTTTAACATTATTTTTATATTATTATAATTGACTATTAGTTATTTACAATATTTGTTTCAGATATCCTGCTTTTTAGAATTAATTTTCGTTATCTTACATACATTCGTTATATATATCATATATATCTATATCTATAACATCTTTATGTTAATTTTTGTCATTAAATAATTTATATTTATAATTATTTGACTCTTGTAGGCTATCAGAAAATTAACAATAAGATATTATCTGCCAAAACATTTATACATTTACACTTGATGAATAAATCATAATAACTTTATTCTGTAACATTATATTATAAATCTTAAAATCAATTTTTTTTCACATTCATTGAAAACTTTATTTGTACTGAAAATATTTGAATATTTGTTTTGGCACATAATATATAAATTTATTACCAAATATTTTATATGTTCTTACTAATTTTTAGGTAGCTTAATTTAAAACTGGTTACCATATTTACTATAGTATATAATATAGTATATATAATTAACTTAATTTATACATATATAAACAATATAATAAACATATTCTGTATTATAATTTTTTTCTTATTGTTTCTCTACTTAACTTGCAATTCTACAACTATTAATCTTTTTATTACTATTATTTTATTACTTTTTATTTTTACTATGATGTTTTATGGAAGTATGTCAAAAATGACATACACAATTAAATACAATTAAATACAATATGTGTTCCATTACTCGGCAATAGAATGTTTTACTATGATATAAAGCTACTATAAACTATACTGCTATAAAAATTAGTTTATTTATGCATCTTTTCTGAAGACAAAATCTTAGTAAAATGTAAGTTTATAAGGGGAAGAACGTTTTCCGTTACCCGTGTTCTTTATATAAATATATGTATATAAATTAATATTAAATCACAATTCACTTGCATAATTTGAATTATTTACTTTAGAATTGGAAACTAATGTACTTTTGCAACGAGTCTCTGTTTAAATTGCAATATAATCTATAAAATGTACATGACTTTATTACGAGTATTAAATTTCATCTAATTTATCTTTATATGAAAAAATAAAGTTTAAATGGACAACATTATTATATATTGTATTATTGTTTAACAACTATATGTAATATGATAACGTTCGTTATACAATTGTTGAGATGAGTATTTTAGGCTTGAGATTTGGAATAATATTTGGATTGATGATGTATAAAGAGGCTTTATCGCGTCAACAAGATTAAAATATTAGACTAAAATATGATTTGCATTTTAGCCTCGTTAATTAAAAATAAACGAGATTCGTGTTTTCATTTTAATGCATATTGCATATAAAATATTATGAATAAAATTTCATGTCTCCTATAACTCAACATCCATATTCATTGCTTTTCATCTGGATAAAGATGAACTAGCCTCTGACCTTCCACTAATGGCTGATTGCAAACTCATCATAGAACCTCTAAAATTAATCAATTAAAGATGCCATTATAAATTGTATTAAATATAGATAAAAAATATATACTATATTACATTGTGTATATGTATTATATATGTATATGTATAAATATATATGTATAATATATGTATAATATATATATATGTATAATAATGTATTATATATGTATAAATACCTGTAATGTGCAGATGGTAATGTTTCATAAAAATACATAAGTTGAGCCTTATGAGAACTAATAGATGGAAGAAATTCAGCTTGATCTTCTTGATTTTGCCATTGTAATACATAAGTACCTGTATCTTGCATGATATGAGTTCCCTATAATAAAAAAAGAATTAATAACTGTATAAAATAAATAAATATATCCTGAGTTAGGAAAAAGTCTTTTTACAAGTTGGAGCATAATTGAAACATTTTTTAAAATTATATACAAACTTTTTATTAAGTCAAATATGTGCCGTTTTGATCGATGATCTTTTGCCGTTTTTCAGAGATAGAATCATTATTTTATTGGTTTAGAACTTCTATGATTCCTCGGCAAAAAACCAAGATAAATGATTTTCACAGTCTCCTTTGAAGTCAAGTATTTCATTAAGGGAGTTCTGCAAAGACCGAGACAAATGGTAATCGGACGATGCAAGATCAGGATTATATGGTGGATGCATCAAAACTTCCCAGCCAAGATCTCTTAATTTTTATCGAACGGTGCTTTCCATTTAGTGACACAAGTCGACACAAATATCATTTTATCCTTGTTAATCATTGAATGCCAAGAAAGATAGAACGATACTTGTGTCAACTTGTGTCACTAAATGGAAAGCACCCAAAGATGTGTATAGCTTGGCGTTGTCATGGAAGACAATGCTTTTTCTATTGATCAATTCTAGCCGCTTTTCCTGAATAGATTGCTCCAATCGCATTAGTTGACAATAGAAATCAAAATCAATCGCTTTGCCTGGCGACAGCAGTTTATAATGGACGACTCCTTTCCAATCCCACTAGACACACAGCATCACCTTCTTTGGCGTCAATCTGGGCTTTGTATTATTTGTGGTACCTCATTTCATTTTGACCACGATCTTTTTCACGAACATTATCATATGTTACCCACTTTTCATCGCCCATTATCAATTTTTTCAGAAAAAACTCAATTTCGTTTTGTCTCAACAACGATTCGCAAATGGAAATTCAATCCATTAAATTTTTTACCGTCAAATCATGTGGCACCCAAACATCGAGCTTCTTTGTGTATCCAGCTTTACCCAAGTGTCTCAAAACAGTTTTATCAATGTTTAGCTCCTTAGCTATGTCACAGCTGCTTACATGATGATTTTCTTCAATTTTTTGGAAGATTTCATCGACATTTTCCACAATAGACCGACAAGAATGATGTGCATCTTTGACATCGAAATCAATTTGCTGCCAATTTGTTTGTCTAGTTAGAGCATCCTCTCCATAAACATGACAAATTTTTTCTATGGCTTGCGCAACGTTCTTCCTTTTTTTATAATAAAAAAATATGCGTTGGAAATGTTCCTGATTTTCATTCATTTCCAATTTTGATTTAATGCATCAGTATCGTTTAAATCTATGATTAAGCTATTTCAAAATATTATAACATAATAATTATTGTGATAAATATCATCACATGCCTCTGTGGTCGAAAGGATAAGATGCCTGCCCAGTAAGCAGGAGATCCAAGTTTGATTCCTGAAGTGATATTTTTCTGATCCTGAGGATATTTTTCGCAAAAATAATTGCGAACTTTCACGTTCGTGGTCGAGCCCCGCTATGACGCACACTCTCCCTTCTTATTTGAAATAACACCTTTCCAACAATATATAATACACAATAGTGGCACATAAAAAATCGATTAGATCTCCATCTGTCAGCTATATGTAAAAAGACTTTTTCTTTAATCCAATATTTAATACAAAAGAAATAATAAATTCTAATTTAAAAATTTAAATAAATTATTATTTAGAAGAAGAATAAGAAAATTAGATTATATTGGAAATATATCTTTGTACATTTTTGTCTTGTTATCAAATATATGAATTATATGTATACGTACTTGGATACTTTCACCATCATGACAAACTACACTATGTTCAACTTTAATATAATTATCTTTCAGTTCTTTTGTAGCAACAATTTCGTGATCACCACCTATTGCAAGCTCTGGAAGCTCTATAAAAAATAATCATGGTTTATGTTATAACTTAGGTTATGATATATATATATATATATATATATATATATATATATATATATATATATATTATTTATTATTATATA